GATCGCCATGAACTTGGCATAGCACGGGCGCCCCAGGATGGCGTGATAGGTCCCCTTGAACCCAACCACCTTGAAGGTAAGATCCTCCTTGCGGTAGTTGGAAGGGGTACCGAAGCAGACGGGCAAGTCGATGCGCCCGAGGGGTCGCATGCGCTTCCCCGGCGTGATGCCATGGAAGGGCGCGACATCGCCTCGGAGCCATGATCGGTCAAGCTCCAGGAGCTATAGGGTGTTGGCGTAGAGGATGTTGAGGTCGCTGTCTCCGTCCATCGGCACCTTGGTGAGCCGGGTGTTGCCGATGATCGGATCGACGACGGGGACATAATCAGGGTGGTCATCCCGGTCGAAGGTGATCACCTCCCAAGACCAGTCGAGGTACTAGGGAGTGGCCACCTCAACCGAGAAGACCTCTCGGCGTTCCTTCTTTCGCTGATGCGCAGTGAGGCACGCTGAAGGCCCACCAAAGATCATGAAGGCATTGTGCACCTAGGGGAACCTGTCATCCTTGTTGTTGTCCTAGTTGCCTGTGCCCCCTTCTTGGCGTCAACGTTGGGGAGCCCGAGCTTGGCGTAGTAACGCTGGAGCATGGTGCATTCTTCGTGGGTGTGCTTCATCGGGCCCTGATGGTAAGGGCAGGGCTTCTTAAGCATGTCATCGAAGAGCCCGGGGCCTCTGGTGAGGCCTCGGGGATTCTTGCGATCTGAGGCCACGACGAGATCGGCCTCGAGGACCTCCTGCTTCCCTTGGTGACCCTTTTTCTTTTTTCTTGGGGAGGCGGGGGGCCGAGGCCCCGGGGGTCTCGTTCCTCCGCTTCCCCTTAGCGTCGTTGTCGGGGAAGATGGCCCCGACAGCCTCTTCACCCGAGGCGAAGTTGGTGGCGATGTCGAGGAGCGTGGCCGCCATGGTCGGTACATTCTGGCCTAATTCTCAGACCAAGTCTCGGCAGGAGGTGCCGGAGAGGAATGCTTGGACAATTTCTGAGTCACCGACGTTGGGCAACTCGGTGCATTGCTTGGAGAAGCTTCGGATAAAGTCTCGGAGAGACTCGTCCGGCCTCTGGCGACAACTCTTGAGGTCCTAGGAGTTCCTGGGGCGCATGTATGTTCCCTAGAAATTCCGACGAAGACCTTTACCAAGTCGCGCCAGTTGTTTATCTACAAGGGAGGGAGGTGTTCAAGCCAGGCTCGCGCTGAGTCTGACAGGAACAAGGGGAGGTTGCGGATGATGAGCCGGTCATCGTCTGTGCCACCTAGCTGACAAGCCAGGCGGTAGTCGACCAGCCACAGCTCGGGGTTGGTCTCGCCGCTGTACTTTGAGAGGTTGGCCGATTGTCGAAACTGGGCCAGGAAGTGGGCGCCGCGGATGGCCTTGCTGAAGACTCGAGGGCCAGGGGGCCTAGGAGAAGGACTGCGGTCCTCCCCACCGTCGTAGTGACCGCCTCGGTGCGGGTGGTAGCCTCAGGCGGGCCCATCATTGTCATGGCGCCGTCGCCTGCTGACCACATCGTGGTCGCCTTGCGCCTCACGTCGGTCGCTGAGGCGGTCGTGCACCGAGGGGGCCTTGCGGGCTTTGGTGCCCGAGCGGGCTCGGGACGAACCGAGGCCTCTCTATCTTACCAAGGCGGTGCCGCGGGTAGTTCTGAGGCACCCCCGCGCCATCGAGAGGCGGAACTTTTGGCCTGCTGTACCGCGGCGGTCTCGAGGAGGTCTCAGAGCTCGCCGTGGACCCGTCGCCCCTCCGAGGTAGAGGGCTCGGGCAATGTCCAGAGTAGCATCGCTGCTGCCGCGATGTTCTGGCTAGCGAGATTGAAGATAGGGGGTTGCTCGCCCCCTTCGTCGTTGTTGATGCGCGTGGTTGACGTCGCGAGCCCTCCGCCGGGCTGCTCCGCCCTCACCGTGACCCCGCTGCTCTCGCTCGAGAGTGTCATAGAGCTCCTCCAGGTCTAGGCATCGAAGTTCCTCGGGGGCGGGGTTCTCATTCCTTGCCGTCGGGGGCTTGACACGTGGAGGTGTGGCGTCGCCTGCCCCCACATGGGGCGAGGTGCGATTGCCTACCCCTTTGTCCTCATCGCTCGCGCTTGGCACCCTAAGCTCGACGTTGAAGCACTCACGAGTGGGATCGTAAGTGTCTTCGTCATCGAAGTCGGAGTAGCCGAAGCAGTAGTCGCTCGTGGCCATGAAGCAGCGCATGGCGTCAGGGTCGCGAAGCCCGGAGAAGTCCACTCTGGCCCATGCCTCGTCCCCCTCCGAGGAGTCAGCGTGGGTGTGGGTCGGGTTGTGACGATGAGGTCGAGGGCAGAACGTTGGTGGCGTCCTGAGGGCTCTGCGTGAGCGGAAGCGTAGGCCGCAGCGGCATTGCTCAACCCTAAGAGGTACGGGGATGGTGTCGTCGCCGGGCTCCTCTCCGCTGGAGTTGGCTCCTCAGGAGGTGGCGGGGCAGAGCTTGATGGCAGGGTGTCGCTGCGCGCCACCAGCATCTTTTCCTTGCCGAGGCTTAAGCTAGATAGGTCCCTAGCCAGGGACTCTGCGCCAACAGCCGGGTATGGGATACTGGCGGAGCGCGGATCGTCGCCCTGAACTTGCGCGGTGTCGGGGTGGTCCCACCCGCGTCGCGCCTGGCGAGCGTGACGACAGCGGCGGCCTGGGCGCCGCTCGCGCCTGGGCTGCTGGTGCGTGATGTCATCGTCGGTTGATGGGGCTCTAGGTGGGAGGAGTACCATGTCATACTCATATCCTAGAGACATGAACTCTAGGGTCCCGAACTAGATTATCGTGCCGAGACGCAGTGGTCGCACGGGGTCTGCCATCCGAAATCTGTTGGGATGATTAAGCTGACACATAGTAGTCCCCCTACCTAGCGCGCCAACTGTCGGTGTTTTAGACCGGGGGGTCCTCAACCGACTAGTGAAAGTATACTGCATGTTCCTAATCCCGGATGGTGATGCAAAGAGACACAAGGTTTATACTGGTTCAGGCAATAGATGCCCTACGTCCAGTCTAAGGGTGCGATCTTGTATTCCTTTACCGAGATGCTTGTAGTAGGGGCTTACAAGCTGGGCGAGAGAGGGAGCTAGCCCCAGGTCTCTGTGAATTGCAGTGTGGGTTGCTTGAGATGTTGATCTCTTGCAGTGAAGGAGTGTGTGTGTTACAGAGTGTTGTGCGTGGCTTGCACCGGTCTCCTCCTGCCGAGAAGTGGCCTTGGTCACTCCCTTTTATAGTCGAAGGGAGGCACAGGGGCGGTACATGTATTTGCTACGTGGCGTTCTTCGGCAGGGGCGGCATGTTCGAGCCCTGCAGGTTGTCACTGTGGTGGCGTGGTCGGTGGAGCGGTCTTGTCCTTCGTGCACTGGAGCGACGCTCGGGTCACGCCCGATCATGTGCGACGTGGGAGCTCCTATGGTGGTAGGCGCGCCTTCTTCTGTTGGAGGCGCGCTGGTCACTGTATGTTTAACCGGCGCGGAGTGCCGAGGCCGGGTTGATGCGATGGCGCGGGTACGCTGATTCCGAGGCTACAGGAGCTAGGCCTTGTGCACGACGTGGGAGCTCCTGTAGCCTGGACGCAGGGTATGGCGCGTTCTGTGGGCGACGTGTCGGTCCCAGAGCGCCAACAACATATAGAGCCAAGGCCCAGTCGATGCAGAGGCTGGACCGTCGTGGAATGCTCGGCGGGCGCGAGTAACGAGGCTACAAGAGCCCGGAAGCGGGTAGCTGAGTCTTGGAGGGAGCAGTTGGCCTTGCACGCCGTTTCCGAGGCTACAGGGACCCGGATGTGACTTTCCATGCCTGAGCAGGGGTTAGGCAGCACAGCGTGGCATAGGTGTCCGTCATGGGCACAGTGCCGAGCACAGCGGCCGGTAACCCCTGCCCCGTCCTGTCTCGAATAGCATGGGGTCGATATGACTCCCGTCTCGTCGGCCACTCCGCTATACCGTACCGTCATGCGGCTGACGTCGCGGGAGTGGTTGAACGCGTTAGTTGGATGTGACGTCTCGTCAGAGAAGTCGGTCAAGGCGGCGGTGATGGAGTTGATGCCGAGCCGGCCTCGAGCGAGTCGGTAACTGGGTGCTCGTCCGAGGCCTCGCGGTGCGGGGCCTCGAGCGAGTCGGAAAATCGATACCTCGTCCGAGGCCTTGCGGTGTGGGGCCTCGGGCGAGTCGGAGAATGGGTACCTCGTCCGAGGCATTGCGGTGTGGGGCCTCGGGCGAGCCGGAGAATCGGTACCTTGTCTGAGGCATTGCGAGTGTGGGGCCTCGGGCGAGCCGGAGAATCGGTACCTCGTCCGAGGCCTTGCGGTGTGGGGCCTCGTTCAAGCCCGGATTTTTGTTCGAGGTGGGCCGGGCGGTCCAGCCGGGCCTCGGATGTGGCGGGTTTGCCTGCGGTTGTATTTTGGTTTCGTTATTTATAAGGTCTAAGCAATTTTTTCGGTTCTTGCTTAGGGTACCCCTTTTATGGTATCCGACAGCCGTCGGGGAAGAACGCCGCCTCGCCGCACACCACACCTCAACACACCGCCGGTCTCTCACGGAATTTGGTGGTGAAGCAAGGGAGAGGAAGGAGGGAGCTCGACGCCAGAGTGGCCGCTTATAAAGGCGGCGGATTTCACTGGAAGCGGAAGCGCGCGCGGAGGTAGGAGCAGCCGCTAGGAATCACCTGCGAGGAGCCCTAGAAAAATAGAGGTAGGAGACGGCCCATGGAAACCAAACACGTGCACTGTAGCTGGAGGGCACAGCCAGACCGACGGGCCAGCGCTCCAAACACGTCCTAAGCTCCGCTCCGCTCCTGCATGTAGGGGCGGATCCAAAACGGGGCTGCACCCCGGGTTGAGCTGCTGATTCACGTTCAAAACAGTTTGATCTTGCTTTCTAGGCCTTCTTTTATCTAATTAAGGTTATAGTTTTTTAAGTTAAACACCACATATGTTACAGGGACTGCATGGACTCACCCCGGCTGCAGCCCGGGCAGCCCGAGCCTGGATCCGCCCCTGCCTGCATGTACCGTTACCGTGCACTGCGTTTGCCAAAGTCCAAACCTCTCCCTGATACTGGTAGGAATACGGAATACGCACCGCAGGCACGGACCGCGAAGCCAGGAGAGAGGAAGGAATTGACGGGCGGATGCTGCAGCACGCAACGCCTGCATGCTTCTCTTGGCTGCTGCGGTCACGGCCAGGGCCAGGCGGCAAAATGATGGCTCCAGAGTCACGACTGCAGCGGCTGGGAGAAAGGACCCTGGTACCTCGGTTTGGACGGACGCCATTGGTCCCATTCGCTCGCCTCGCTTGAGGGAAGTGAGGGAGAGTTGGCCCATGCATGCACGCCGTTCCTGCAACAGTCAACCACATGCAACGCAACGTCCCTTCGTTTCTTGTTTTGGTAGCTACAGACACGACACGTCGGAGCATGCATGTTTCAGGCCGTTCACCATTGCTATTTGTGGTCGGTCCATCGTGCCACTGCCATGCATGCTTCGACGATAAAATAAAGAAACACAATGCACTACTTACTACTGTCTCGCTTGGGGTAGACGGAAGACGATAGAGCGGCAAGTCTGAGCGATCTCATGTTCTCAACGGTGCGCGGATAGGAGTATTCTTCACAGTACATGTTACAAGTAAGTACCCGATGGCTCATGCCAGCCTCATCACCCCATTCCGTCAAAAATCAAAACGAATATTCATCGGCCAACAGCATACTCCGTACAGTATGTTGCAGACAAGCGGTTCAGTTTTTTTTGCTAGAGATCTCTTGTTGCTACTCCCTGTCATATGTCAATGCGAAGGGTGACGAAATGGCAAAACCAAGAAAAACCGCGCACCCCCACGCGCCGAGCCGCCGACGCCGAACGGCCGAAGCACGCGTTCATACTGCTCTCGGAAGCAGCAGCGCCAGGCGCCCAGGCAGCGCAGGCGCGCAGCAGCGCGGATCCCCGAAGGATGCGGGATCGGAGACCGCCAGGACGGGGACGATGACCGCTGCAGTGCGGCCTACAGTATCTCGTGGAGCCGCGGACAGCCGTGCTACGCGGCATGGGCCCGAACGCGATCAGAGCAAGTATACTAATCAGCTGCAAGCCGGCGGAGAGAAAATCCACGTCATCCAAGAAAAAGCCACGTTAGGAGAGAGATTACGGCGGCGCTATTCTCTTCGCCGAACGGCGAGAAACAGCGTCGTCTTCAGCCCGATCTCGGCGAAGCGCCGGCGCTTCATCCACCCGTCTCTCTCCTTTCCGAGGTGCTCCACTTCCCTTCCCGTGCATTAAATGCGGGATCGGATTATATTTGTACTTGTGAACATTAAATGATTAGAACCGCTGCATGCATCCCGTCTAATAGCCGGCTTGTTATATGGGTTGGTTATATAGCCGGTTGCATATGACCTGGCATGTGCTTGCAGCCAGCAGCGGGCTGGGTTATTAAACTTGCTCTCAGTCGACCAGATTTGACCGTGGTCCTAGTCCTCGTTGTTACCCAGTGCCGGCGTGCGCCTCGCCCCTGGTTGCCGGTTTTGTCCGGCCGGGGACGGGGAGCCGGCCGTTGTCGCGCGGACGACATACGCCGTGCGGCTTATAAGCTATGCTTTTTCGATCGATCAATAATATTTTTCTCTTATAATAAAACAATCATAAGTAAGTTAAGAGCAAAGCTAACGATTTCACCTGTTACTGGCTAAATGCATGTGCCATGTCATACAAAGTAGTGATATCGTCTACTCATATAATAGGTTGGATGAAAGACGGGCTATATCAAACCTACGAGTAATTAATGTTTTGTGTTTGCAGCCGAGTACAACGGCAGCTCCCAGCCAGCAACTAGCTGTAAGTTAGCCTTTTTATCTCATAATTTGTGATTCAGCCGGCGAGAAGCTAAGCGCCGGCTCAGCACCCTCTCTTCTAACGTGGCATTCTTACTGTTGACGTGGAGCTCGTCTCGCCGACTCAAATACCTTATTATACCTGCTCTAACAGGACAATCGTCATAAATGATCTGCCTGTGTCCAGCGCCCGAAGGTTTGTCTGCGGTCTGCACAGCAGCTCGGTTCAAAATCAAACTTGGGCCTCGTTTAGATTGAGGTTAGAAATTAGTATTTGGCACTGTAGCATTTTCGTTTGTATTAGATAATTATTATCCAATCATGACCTAACTAGGCTCAAAAGATTCGTCTTGTAATTTACAATCAAATTATGTAATTAGTTATTTTTTTATCTACATTTAATACTACATGCATGTGTCCAAAGATTTGATGTGATGGAGAGAGAGTGAAAAAACTTGCAATCTAAACAAGGCCTTGCCCATGGCAGATGGGACCGGGAGGTCGCGAGCATGGAAAAAAAAATAGCGGCCTATAGCGGTCCGGAAGGCTAGACGTTACGTTATTGTTCTTTGCGCCGCTAGCTCTGTTCGCTTGGTTGATAAGTCATGGCTAAAAGTACCGTTGGCTGATTTGTTGGGAGAGAAAAATATTGTTCGTTGGCTGAAAAAGTACGGCTTATAAGCCGAGCGAACAGGGCGGCTATGTCAACTTTAACCGCTGTTGCGAGCTATAGCGCCGTTAAGTTGCATAGCTTTAGCGTTAAAATAGTGGCACTATTTCATATTTGTCTACTTATCATTTGCTTACTAATTTAATTAGTTATTTCCTACTTATAATTTGCTACTAATTTGGTATTTTAAACAATTAAATACTGGAGTTTTACGAACCATGTTGTAATTTTATATTAGTAAATGTTACCTAGACTTGTGAAATCTTAAAAACATATTTGTATTCATCGAATTTCATATTTGACATATTTTTTCATTAATTACTGGTGTTTTTCTTCATGTTTATTTTACAAAAACGCTATCTATCGTAGCGACGCTATAGCTTGGTAGCTGTTGAAAAAAGTTGTCGCTTTATTCGATAACCCGCTATTTTAAACTATGGTCGTGAGGTTCGCTGGGCACGTCGCGAGGCAGAAACAAGAGAATCAGCCGATCAGATACTGTCAGCCGGAAAGCCGGTGGCCACCGATTCATCCAGTTATCCCGGTTGATCTCCCGTTTGGATCCAAACCCTAAGTATATTAGTGTTATATATATACTCCTATATATAGGGCTACCTTAATAACTAGTCCATCCCTTTAAAAAGATGCATTTTACACTTTTTAATTAGAAGTTAAAATTTTTAAGTTCGATCATACTTGTAAAAATTATTATAATAATATTTATGACACTGAACAAGTAAAATTGGATTATAAAATATATTTTATAGAATACTACCTATAATAAATATTAATAATGTTTGAGTTTCTGTTTGGCTCCTAAGGGATTTTAAGAACCTAGATAAAAAAAAGTCTTAGAATATTAGAATCTTATTCAAAGATACTAGTAGTAGATTCTAATGGATTTAACATAGACACAATATCAAATAAAATATATTAGATTTCTTAATCTGGATTTTTAAGATTCTTTTGGACCGAGTCATTCTAAATGAAGAATGGTATCTTTTCTTCAGCAGAGGTAGAAAAGGATCTTTTCAAAGAAAGATCGAGATTCGAACGACTTCAAAAGTTCCTGGCTCTAGGATTCTTCCCTTTCCGACACCTTTTGAGGAAAATTGCTTCAACACCACTGTCGGCGTATCCATTGGAAAGTGAAAACAAGCTTCGATGCTCCTGCGGCTCCTGACCGACCGATCGAGCTCGTTTACCATCAAACGAGCGACTGTTGCCTGTCAGCGTGCAGACTGCAGGTAGAGATCAAAACGGTACATATTTTTTTTTATCGTTAAATCTGTTTAAAGGTATTCAGATATGTCGGGATCCGAATCTAGATATTCAACATCCGATACCGTATCCATATCCGAATACTCAAATCGCATATTTATGATGTCGGTATCTAATCGTATTCTATCCGACATGATTGATATTATTCGTATTCCAATCCGAATTCAGATAGAAATATAAAAATAAATATAATATCACTGACATGCATTCTCGTCCGATCCGTTTTCATGGTGCAGCACAGGAGACCCGAGTGTATTCGCGTGAGACAGTTTGTGGAGGATCGAAAGCTAGGCCAAGATTCCACTACGGTTTTGAACTGTCCCCAAGCCCCAAGCACACATCCATCCGTCACCAGTAAATACTCCGTATGACAGTACTAGTATCCCCGTAGACGTACAAGTATGGTAGCAGTAGTACAAGCGAATACAGACGAGAGGGAAACCTGATGCACACTGCACAGGTGCAGTGTCCTCATGATTGTACACTTGCCGCTGCGCTGGAGTACTAGTTCTAGTTCCTTCCCAATGAATGAATAAACAGAGGAGTACTACTGCACATTTGCATGCATGCCGCAAGAGTAATAAAAATTCCTAATCTGCCTAGTAGAAATTTTTTCTACTGTGGCAGCAAAACCGTGGTGTTGCCGTGTGCAGATTGAGAGCCCCATTTGGCAGGAGTGGCTAGAAGCGCCAATTTTCTTTTTGAAAATGAAGGGTTTTAAAAAGAACATATGTAAAACAATGGCCAAGTTTGGTTTGTAACCATAACTTACTACGCTATCAGTTATCCATGTCACAGTTTTTTCAATGGTTGTTGTTTCTTTTTCTAGGTCGTGTTTGTGTTCCAATTGATCCCAGAAACTGTGATGATTTTGATCCGGCAGCTGTTCCGACTCTATCACAGTTTTTTCGATGGTGGTTGTTTCTTTACCAGCTGTTCGGCTGATGATTTCTGCGACTGATAAGCCGGCTGAAGCTGATTTGTTATGAGAGGAAAAACACTGTTATGGTGCAATGCTGATTTGCTAAAACAAGTACACTACTACACTTATTCAGGTTTTAGGAGAGCTCAATGCTACTGGATTTCAGACAGATTCTGAAAATAGCAAGTGATTATAACCATGCTCCTTTTGTGATTTGTGTCCAAACTTATTATTTTGTAAATGCAAAAAAGAAAAAAGCATTCTAGTACCAACGTGCAGCCTTGCCTAACGTGCAGCCTTGCCTGTTCGGGAGGCCGTATCGTATCGTGGATTATTTACTGCTGGCTGGTTTGGTGTGAGAGAAAAACATTGTTCCCGGCTGAAAATTTACGATCATTTACGAGGAAACGAACAGGCTGGCCTCTTTGAGTTTCAGATTTGGAAAGAGCGTCCCTTGGGAAATCCATCGGTTTTTTGTTTCAAAACTTTCTTTCTGCACTCGTGGAAAACCCCTCTTTTCTCATTCGCTCTCTGTTGCATGGGTGGAAGACAAAAAAAAGGATTCTAAAAAAAAGATATTGAAAATAAAAAATGACTTTTGAAACCCTTTATTCAACACTGTTACATTTTGGTATGCCATATTTTCTTAGCACCGAGTCTAGCACGACATAACTTTCTTTTTGCCAAATTTTGTTATAAATGTGGCTTCAATTTTACTCGCATAGACACGATAAACTACAGCACCAACTAAACAAGGTCTATCATTTTTTTAATATTAAGCTTTTGCAGAAAGCATCTGGTAAAACTATTTCTTCGTTTTGTTGGAATAGATAGAAGAAGTCAAATAACCATCTTGCCCTCGTCTATTTGACTTGGTGTTGCCGGTAGTGTACACATGAAGAGAATAGAATGAGTAGGGATATATGCAGGGGCGGATCCAGGGCCCGGGCTGCAGCCCGGGGCGAGTCCATGTAGCCTCTTTAACATATGTGGTGTTTAGCCTAAAAACTATAATCTTAATTAGACAAAAAGAGACCTAGGAAGCAAGATCAGACTGTTTTGAACGTGAATCAGCAGCTCAGCCCGGGGCGCAGCCCCGTTCTGGATCCGCCCCTGGATATATGTATTATTTTAGTTGTTTACTAAGGGCCTGTTTTATTCTCTTCTCTGAAATTAAGAGCTCTACAAACTTTAGTACCTCAGTTTTGATATTTCAAGCTCTTACATGAGTTGAGCTAAAGTTTAGAGCTAACTTTAGACCATCTGTTTGTAGACTTTGGCTCTAAAGTTTAGAGAAGATGATCCAAACAAACCCTAACTATCACCTCTGTTCCAAAAATATTGTAATTCTATATTTAAACTATGTCACTTTTTTAAGCTTGACAAAGTTTAAATTTTAACTATTTCTTATATATAGTTTTGATTAAATTGGAAATTGATTGACTTGGGAAAAACTAAAATTGTATTTTTTTTCTTTTACGGAGGGGTACGAGTAATCAATCGGCCTCATATTAGCACTGTCACTGGTTGCTGTTTACGTCGGGATTCATAGCCTGTTCCTAGACCATAAAAGATCGTGAATTATTTATTATTGACTAATTTAATATAAGAAAAAAATACTGTTACACCTTATAATCTATATACCAATAAGTGAACAGGATATCGGAGTGCCCTATCAAAAAAAGACTATGCACAAAAAAAAAAGACTTGTGTAGATGCAAAACCACGGGTGGAGCAGGATGTACGAGAAAACCTGCAAGCAGCTAGTACTAGGGCCATGTTTAGTTGCCCACAGAATTGGCGTCGCCGGATTTTCTGGATACACCGTAGTTATAGTAGCGTTTTGTTTTTATTTATAATAATTGTCCAATCGTTGACTAATTAGGCTCAAAACGTTCGTCTTGCAAGGTACAACCAAATTATACAATTAGTTTTTGATTTCGTCAATATTTAGTACTCCATATATATACCACAAATTTAATATAACAGAAAATTTTCTTTTTTATAGTGCCAAATTCAAGAATTTAGGAGAACTAAACATTGCGTAGTTCTCCGGATTACAAAATGATCGGCAAAGCATGGACAAGCTCGAGATTCTAGAGTACTATTTGTACCGGTATTCTGCTCACGCAAACAGTAATTGCTCTACGCTTTACTACTAAGGGCGCGTTTAGTTCTAATTTTTTTAGTTTGGCTACTGTAGCATTTTATTTATATTTGGTAATTAGTGTCTAATTATGGATTAATTAGGTTTGAAAGTTTCGTCTTGCTATTTCTTACCTAACTGTGTAATTAGTTTTTTTTTCGTTTATATTTAGTACTTCATATATGTGCCACGGAGATTCGATGTAACAATTTAGGTGAAAATTTTTGGGATCTAAACGCCGCACACCCGTACTGCACCAGATCAATTTCAGTCGGGAGTCGGAACCCCCGTTCACGAGCACTTCTTCGGTGCAGCTCACTGTGCAGAGAAAGACTGGCAGGGAGAGAGATGGGCCGGCCGCCCGAAACATCCTCGAGAATATACACGCAAATCTGGTGCATTAATGGAACGGATTTGTAATCATGCGCGCCTATACACCTACGCCATTAGTCTGGCGCCCTCTGCTGTCCCTAGCCTCCAGTGACAGTCCCGGCTGTGGACTCTGGTCGCGATGGGCAGACCGCACCGCAGACGGGTATAGGAAGAGAAATTGCTCCAGCCGTCCAGCGTCCACTACTACGAGTCCGGCCTCCCCACCTCCGCCCCTCCTCGCCTCCTTATATATCTCTTGGACTCTTGCCGTCCTCCTCCGATCCGAGGCTCTGACCCCCAAACCCCCATCACCGCCCACCGGAGCAGCAACAATGGCGCCTTCCATTAGCTCCCTCAGCCCCACAGCCCCGGCCTACATCCCGCAGAGGGGCGCGCCATGGATCCGGCCGCCGCCCGTGCCTGGTTTCACGACGTACATCTGCATGGCCCCGCCGCCGCCGCCGCCGCCGGAGTTCTTACCGTGGCCGCCCCTAGCTCCACCTCCGCCTCCGCCTTGCTGGAGCGTCCCGCAGGCCCCATGCGTCCCGGGGATGCAGGAACCTTTCCATGGATGCGTGGTGCCGGTGCCCCACGGAGCGATGGCCATGGCCATGACCCCCTCTGGGCCAGCTCCCGGTGCCTGGCCACGGCGCCATCCCAAGGCTACGAGGATGCAGCGAGCGGCGGGTCCGGCTCAGGCGGCAACCGCGGCGTCCTGCGGCGTGAAGGCCGCCGGGGACGCGAAGGAAGCGGCGACCAACCAGCCGTCCCCGCGCTCTGTGCTCGCGGTCGCGTCTCCGAGCCCGCCCATCTCGCCGACGACGTCCCTCCCGACGTCGTTCCCGTACCAGCTGGTGCTCCCCGCGCCGCCGAGGTCCACAGCAGGCCTCGACTCTGCAGCGGCGCCTCCACCCTCCGAGGGCAGCGTGGCTGTCCGTCCACCGCAGAGACGCGGCCGGCGGCTGCGCGGGCCGCGTCGTGCGTGGCCGGCTTCGAGAGTGCTAGTGCGCCGCACCGTCAAGCCTCGGCGGCTATTCGACCCTAGCTCTGAGCGGACTAGCCTCATGATCCGAAACATACCGAACGATTTCACGTGAGTCTGCCATATTCCCTTCTCTTGATCGTCGCCTTGTACTACTCTTGGTTTTGCTCTATCAATCCGGTTTTATTAGAAGCTGTAGGTGAAGATCGGTTTACTTGATTCGTTTTGACGACGCAGGAGGACGTGGCTGATGAACATCCTCGATGAACACTGCTTCATCGAGAACGAGAAGATCGCGCCGGGTGGGGTGAGGTCGGAATACGACTTCCTCTACCTGCCAATAGATTTTAGGTAACCTTTACCCTTGAGTACTAATGGATCTTCTCGTCTAGCAAAAGCTATCCGTGACCTCGTTGGTTGCATTTGAGCAGGAGCCTTGCCAACAAGGGCTACGCGTTCGTCAACATGACTTCGCCGGAGGCGGCCTGGCGGCTCTTCGAGCACCTCCACGGGCACTGGTGGGGGTTCAAGCACAGCGGCAAGACCTGCGCGGTGGACTACGCTGACCGAGAGGTTTATTTGTCTCCGCTCACTACCTTCGTCTTCGCTTGCCATGGCGCATCGCAATGACGTGCTGCCCTTGTTCTCCGGCCGTTTGGATTCCTGCAGGGGCTTGACGAGTTGGTCGAGCATTTTTCTGGGTCGCGTTTCGACTGCCACACCGAGGCGTACCTGCCGGTGCGGTTCGAGCCTCCGCGGGACGGCACCCGGCCGTCGGAGGGCGCGATGCATGTCGTCGGCAGGCTCGCCGCCCGCCACCGCGCTGGAGATGGGAAGTAATCCGGCGCCTCGCTGCACTGCACCCTGGCCGCGCCGCTTCATATCTTGCATTCTATCCGTTTGAGGGTGGAGCGGATAGAACGGGAGATACGATTCGGCCTGGCCTCCTTGATTGCCTGCATTTAGTGATCTGCTTGTGGATTACTTTCGTTTCATATCCATGTGCTTTCGATCGATCTCGACTCGAACTAGCTAGGTTTAGTGTTGAAGCTCAAGTTGCCCTGTTGTATAATATGGTTTGGGCCGTGTTAGTCTGTTAGTACGTGTGTCTGTGTTGTCTGATGCTGAGGTTATGATCTGATGTTAAAGGCTATAGTATGGGTGTCGTCTGTGTCAGCAGGCTAAAAACCTGCTTGTTTCCCCGGCACATGGGACTAATCGTAGCTCTAATTCCTTCGCCTGATGATAACAGCCTCATCATCTTCATTTAATGCTTCGCCCCTTTTGTTTCTTGTGGTATGAAATGGTTATTTGAATCTTAGGAGACATGCATGGAATATCATGTTTGGTTTACACTAGGGAGCAATGCATATTTTAATCATTGAATGCAGACGTGGATTCATGGCCCGTTCGCGTGCCCTTAAATCCGGTTTTAGCTTTGAACCGCTTCTTTTTTTTTATCCAGAACAGTGTTTTTCTCTCACAAATTTATCTAGAATTCCTCCGAACGAAGAGGCCCTTGAACGGAACTTAGTTAATTAGAGCTTTTTATCTTCAAAAGATCATCCATTTGGGTTCTTTCAATCTGTAGTAGTACATTTTCCAGGCCTAATAGTTGGATTTGGCTCTTATAAGTATTTTGATTATAATCTGGTACTCCCGTGTGAATTCATGTTAGTACTGAAGCTTTATGTTACTACTTTTGTTCTTGCACTCGGAGAAATAGATCGTATAGATTGTCATAGAATAATTTATTATTATAGATTGTCATGCAACAGTTTATTAAACACTGTTCTCTGCATCAGAATGGCAACGTTCCTTGCTAAAACCGACTTTTGGTTTCGGCAGAGATTAGCAATTCATCAAGACATTATTTGATGCGGTTTGGTTGGTGCTGAAGTCTGCCAAGCCTAATCTTCGGCAAACTATGGCTGCCACAAAAAAATATGGAGAGTAAAATCGAAGCCACACTTGTGGCAAAGTTCGGCACAAAAATGAGTGATGTGTGAGACACGTTTAAGAAAGTTGGGGCGCTATAATTGTGGCAGTGAACCAAGCAGCTGCTAAAAATACTGCGGCATGACTAACCTTTGGCGTGACTGAGTTTTGGTGACCAATGAAATAGGCATCTCACTGTTTTTCCTCGTGATTTCCGATGACCCTTGTCAGATTGGATCTTACTTATGATGGATCTTTTTTTGTTATGATCAAAGCAATTTGAGTCCAGTTTTGTCCTATTCTTGTTGATTGATTTTTTGGCAGGGTTTGGTCCAGATTTATCTGTCGGTTTGATGCACCACGCGTGTTGTCAGTTTTGGTGGATAATGTTACATGCTGGTTTCTCTTGAGCCGTTTTGGTATTGCTATTGTTACTCAGTGATACCCACCAAGGCCTTTTGACTTGTATTTGTCATTCTGTGTGCTCGGTTCTATTGTGAACTCATTGATTTACATATATATAGCTACCCTATCCGTTTGAATTTAAGGGTTTGCTCAAGAAACTTAGGTCCCCTCTAGAACAAATGAAAAGCATAGGAAATTTAGAGGACCCTAGTTCTATAGGAAAACTTCGACATGTTCCTTTCAAACAAAGGATTAAACCTGTGAAATTCCTTGAATACTATAGGATGTATGTATGAAACCATAGTAATTTTGGTGGAAAACTAGCATGAGTTTGGATCTCATAGATACTTGTCATTGTGTCTGTCCCTTGGAATTTCTGTACTATCTCATGTGTTGTATCCAAAGGTCATGAAAAATTTCTTACATTTTGAATTACAGTAGTTTACAAGTTTCATGCAACTTCAATACTACATTTTTTTATTCCCGTGTTTTTTATTTTCCTTGTTTGCCTAAAGCCCATAGAACACAACAGAACTTTACAGATACACAGCCAAAATCTTATGGAAGGATAGTGGCACATTATGGCCATTATTGTTTGCTTCACTGTTTTTTATTGCATTAAAATTGATCAGATATCTCTACCTATTATTTAATACTAGATGACATGTCTTTGCGTTGCATACTGACGGTTAAACTTGTTACGGGTCATCTCGGTTAGCCCGTGCAAAAGATATTGAGGTAGCTATCTTTATTTGTTGATTTAATTGGTCTTGGTTTAGGCATGTATTTGATACTCTAATAACCATTGGATCAATAACCATCAGATCTATTTTTGGTTTTAAAAATTTGCTACACTGTCATCGCAAAAGTAAAAAAACTAGAGTAACCCTAAATCTTGATATGCATTACCCCTACCTGACACTGCCATTGTGTAAAATAACATTGAACAACCCTGTAATCTTCATCTAAATTATACACATACTAATATGAGAAATATTATAGAGTAACTTAGATCTATATCTAAACTCACTTGCACTGGACTAGTATTCAAAATAAACTAAAGTAATTCCTGATTTTAGCCCAGAAACAGCGTTCCGCGCCTGTAGAAGTCGGCTAAGCCGATGTGGGAGTCAACTAAGCTGACTGTTTGCCGAGCTGGTTTGGCTTCTGATCTGTTTCGGACGTGGGAAACTTAAAAATTATAGGCCTGTTCGGTTGGTATTAAAGCTGGCTGATAAGTCGGCTGAAGCTGTTTTGTTGTAAGAGAAAAATACTGTAGATTCTAGTTGATAATGTTCAGGAGGCCGCCGTATCGTGGATTGTGGATTATTTACTGCTGGCTGTTTTGGTGTGAGAGAAAAACACTGTTTTCGGTTGGAAATTTATGATCGTTTACGAGCAAGTGAACAGGCTGAATAAGTTTAAGCGAACAAGCCTAGTGGGATAAGACCACCCTCCTCTATATAAACAAGAGGATCAGGGCTGACTGATGATCTCAACTCACAATAAAATCAATTTACAAACTCTCTTTTACTCTTTTCATTTTCATGCAGACGACCATGGATGGCGTTGTAGGCTGACTTAGGGGAACCCGTCGACATCCCCCCCCCCACCCCACCCACCCACATGAATATAAATAGGGCTCGGCAGTTAGTGAAAACAATGTTACTGAGGAGGTATGGCTGAGTAGATTGTGTCCTAGTTGCCTTAATTACTAAAAGAAACATGTGGTCTAGTAGCACGTCAAGTAGCTAGAAGCTGAATCCGCATGGTCCAGTGTAACAATTCAAACCCCCTGGCGCGCTCCACCACCGAAAACCAAGTTGAAAATATGAATGGTAATAAAAATAAAAATACAAAAACAATTAGTAACTAAAGCTATAAGAATCAGATAAAGATCAGAAAGCACCGTGCCACAAATCCCCAATACTACAGGCCATGCCATATTGCCATCTCCTGTCGAGTTGTTGGCTTGTCGTTCCTTCCTCGATGCGCTCCGTGCAGTCTTGCCATCTCCTGTCCCTTGTAGTACTGCTTGGGTTCGTGGATGACGACTGTGCCGGACCATGCCATGAATGGGATTTGACGTCGGAGGGAGGAAATGGAAAACTGGGCAAGAAAAGCGCAGCCTTGTGGATCTCTTTTCCTTTCCCCATGTACTCCGTACGTCAGTCCATCGTCCAGACGCCCAGTCTCTCCCGCTCTGCTCCGGTGCAAATCTCGCTTCCATCCGCGTCGGCGTCACCCAACCGCAGGGCTCTTTTTTTCGAATAAAAATATGTGTACGGGCCCGGAAGCACGGGATTTTGAGAATTTGGCTACCGTAATATTTTTGTTTTTATTTGGTACTGTCATTCTAAGAATTTTGAAGAATCAAAGCAATCTCAATCTCAAGTTTCACTAGAGTTATAAAGAAAATTACAAAGATTCATGACATCAAATAAATATACTATAAAAATATAGTTAATAAAAAATCTAATATACTTGGTTGACATCCTAAATGTTATTATTTTATCATATAAATTCGGTCAAACTTGAGATACTTTGACTCTCCAAAATTCTTGGAATGACTTACAATTTGAGATGGAGGGAGTAATTAGTATTCAATCATGAACTAATTAGGCTCAGAACATTCGTCTCGCAATTTCCAACCAAACTGTATAATTAGTTTTTTTTCGTCTATATTTAATGCTCCATACACGTATCGTAAGATTCGATGTGATAACTACTGTATTACTTTTTAAAAAACTTTTTGAAACTAAACAAGCCCTAAGTTTTTTATATTTGAATTTCTGGATGACGATTTCGTTTATTTAGCACAAATCAGGCATTTCGATGAATCTCAAACTGGAACTGTAGCGACAAGGATGTGGGACGCGGCCCAGACAAGTACTCCCTCCGTCTAAAAACGACTTTTAATTTTAACTAAATATATATAATAAAATATTAATATTTATGGTATATAATTAGTATACCAGGAAGGTCTTGAATATATTTTTATAATAAATTTATTTAAAAATATAAATGTTGCACGTATTTTTATATAAACCTATTAAAAGTTAGAGAAAATTTTATCAGCATAATTTCGTAGCAAACTTTTTTTTAGGGCCGGAGGGAGTAGGGATGGAGTGCTGGAGCAAAATGGAGGAGCATGAGCTAGGAAGAGGCACACGCTAGGAGGTTTGCCGGCAGCTTTGCAAGGTCATGGCCTCATCTCCGTGACATCGTTCCTCATCTTGTAAGTCGTGTTTTTTTAATCAACGAATAATTTTTTTCTACCACAGCAAATGAATCAACTGTGCTTAGGATAGTCCATGCTCGGCGCCTCGGGCCACGGGGACTCCGCAATTAGTTGGACCCAAAGTGTAAAAAGTTGCTACAGCATTTGTTACATCGAATATTTGCGGCTCATGCATGAAGTATTAAAGTTAGACGAAAATAAAAACTAATTGCACAGTTTGATGGGAAATTACAAGACGAACATTTTAAGCATAATT